AAAAGAAAAAAGAAAAGCATAACTACATAGTGAACACCCAATGAAGCCAACACCCAGGTCCAGGAGCATGACGGATAATGTCCATCTATGTACCTGTGTCAACCTCTCCCACCTTACCCTCATTCTCCCCTAGGGAGTTCCCATTAAAACCACAACCCTGAATTTTGTATTTCTGTTTCTAAAAAGGTTTCACCATATTTATGTGTGACAAATGAAACACTGTTTCATTTTTTTAAAAATTTTGTTAACATAGACTTCTACCATGGTCTTCTGGACTTGGCTCACTATTACACTTTAGACTAATCTGCCTATTGCGAATAACTGCAGGCCCCTAACTTTCACTGCTGCATGACACACCTCCCTGCCGTGTAACACTGTGACACCATTTCCACCTGCTGACGGGTGCTCCGGCTGTTTCCAGATTTCCGCTGCTCTGGTCACACCTGGCCACATTTCTTGGTGTGTGTGTGTGTGTGTCAGTTTCTCCTATACATCCAGGGGAAGAACTGCTGGTTAACTGAATGCCTGAATGTCCAACCTAATAGGACACTGACAGTTGATTTCCAAATTGGCCAAACCTACGTAGACTTCCACAACGTATGCTCTCCCATAGGGTGAGATCTCTATCATCCTGATCTTCACTAGTAACAGAATTGTTTAAAGAATGATAGTCCAGGATTTCTGGGCTAAATCTAAAAGGTTTCCTGACACTTTAAATTATGCTGACCTATAAATTTAAAAAATGATAAAACTTGAAAATAGCTGGCATACTGTATATGCCATAGTTTAAATGTAGAAAAGAGATTCTCATGTGAACTGCAACGGTCCAGAGTTTCAATGCATTCTCAGCACATTTTGTCAACATTTGATGTTGTGACCCGCCACAAGCAGGGAATGCAGGAGAATCAGAATGACCTGGGCTCTCGGCCTCCCTGTATCAGAACTGTTCTGAGAAATAAACTCAATGAAGGCCTGAGGGGATGAAACTAAGGGTGTCAGAGAGTTGAAAAAATCAAAATATGTGGGAACCAAATCACACCACTGAAAAGAGAGGTGAGCGAGGGCAAGTCACAGAATCAGGCCTGGGGTGAAGGAAGCCAACCAGCAACGGCCCTCCCCTCATCAGGCCAAGAGGCAGGGCAGCTGCACTAGCAGGACCCCAAACACCCGTGCTTGCTGAGATGCCTGCCCGCCCCGAGAGAAGTCGACACACACCTTAAGACGCCCTCTACTACCCACACTGCTCTAGCGGGTTTAAACTAGTTTCACCTTAAGTGTGTAGTGTGATTTATGAGGAATATTTGCACAACTCAGCCCCCAAACTTGCTCATTATCATTCTGTGCTTTCCATCTACTCTCTTTCTCTTGTGTCTTTTAGTTGACTAATTCAAGACCCAGATCAAATGAAAGGCAACCTCCTCACTAAAACCTTCCTTGCCACTCAGGCTACGCTATTATAACTGGTCCTTCCTTGTTGGCATGTTATTAATGTTACAATCACAGTACTTCCCATACTAACAGGAATTAAACTGTGCATCTGGCTGTCTCTCTCATCAGACTGTAAACTGAAGTAGAGAGTGCGACTTATTCTCGTGTATATCCTGAGCAACGAGGGCAGGGTCTGGCGCCGTTTTGTGAATCCATACGCTATACTGATGCTTAAAACCTGACCTGTTACAGCCTCATCTGGTGTTCAGAGTCAGTTTAACAGACATGCTCTACAATTCCTGCTCAAACAAAAATCAGTTGTTGGATTCTATTCTGCAATAAAGGTAACTGATTTTGGCAAGAAGCAAAGTATAACTTTGATAGCTACGTATTTATTTATTTTAAGTTCCAGGGTACATGTGCAGGATGTGCAGGTTTGTTACACAGGTAAATGTGTGCCACGGTGGTGTGCCGCACAGATCAACCCATCACCTAGGTATTAATCCAGCATCCATTAGCTATTCTTCCTGGTGCTCTTCCTCTCCTAAACCCACAGCCCCAGTGTGTGTTCATCCCCACAGTGTGTCTATGTGTTTTCATGATTCAGCTGCCACTTATAAGTGAGAGCATGTGGTGTTTTTCTGTCCCTGCATTAGTTTGCTAAGGATAGTTTGCTAAGGATAACGTCTTCCAGCTCCATCCATGTCCCTGCAAAGGACATGATCTCCCTCCTTTTTTTTTTTTTTTTTTTTTTTCATTCGGAGTCTTGATCTGTCACCCAGGCTGAAGTGCAGTGGTGTGATCTCGGCTCATGGCAACCTCCACCTCCCATGTTCAAGCGATTCTGGTGCCTCGGTCTCTGGAGTAGCTGGGATTACAGACGGGCTATCACCCCTAGCTAATTTTTATGCTTTTAGCAGAGAGGGGGTTTTACCATGTTGGCCAGGCTGGTCTTGAACTCCTGACCTCAGGTGATGCACCTGCCTTGGCCTCCCAAAGTGCTGGGATTACAGGTGTCAGCCACCATGCCTGGCAGATCTTTCTTTTCTTGGAGTTTTGCTCTTGTTGCCCACGCTGGAGTGCAATGGCACAATCTCAGCTCACTGCAACCTCTACCTCCCGGGTCCATCAATTCTCATGCACAGCCTCCTAAGTAGCTGGGATCACAGGCATGTGCCACCACGCCTGGCTCATTTTGGTTTTTTAGTAGAGATGGGGTTTCTCCATGTTGGTCAGGCTAGTATCGAACTCCTGACCTCAGGTGATCTGTCTGCCTTGGCCTCCCAAAATGCTGGGATTACAGGCACAAACCACCACATCCGGCTGATCTCCTTCTTTTTCACAGATACATCATATTCCATGGTGTATATGTATCACATTTCTTTATCCAGTCTATCACTGATGGGCATTTAGGTTGATTCCATGTCTTTGCTATTGTGAATACTGCTTCAATGAACATACGTGTGCATGTGTCCTTATAATAGAATGATTTATATTCCTTTGGGTATATAGCCAGTAATAGGATTGCTGGGTCAAATGGTATTTCTGCCTCTAGATCTTTGAGGAATCGCCACACTGTCTTCCACAATGGTTGAACTAATTTACACTCCCACCAACAGCATAAAAGCATTCCTTTTTCTCTGTAACCTCGCCAGCACCTGTTGTTTTTTGACTTTTTAATAATCACCATTCTGACTGTCATGAGATAGCAATATATTAACATATGTCAGGCCTGAAGTCCTGTTCATCAGGCATGTGTCTCATTCACTGGAATTTAACAACTGGGGGAATTATTATTTTTGTTTTAGAGAGGGGGTCTTGCTTTGTTGCCCAGGCTGGTCTTGAACTCCTGGCCTCAAGCAATCATCCTGCTTTGGTCTTCCAAAGTGCTGGGATTATAGGCACGAGCCATCACACATAGCCTGGAGGAATTATTTTGACTATGACAAAACACTATTGCTATTTTCCAAAGGAAGGGGAAGGCACAGTTCTTAGAAGTCCTTTTTTCTTTGAGACAGGGTCTCACTCTGTCACCTAGGCTGAGTGCAGTGGTGTCATCATGGCTCACTACCAGTCTCAACCTCCCTGCCTCAAGTAATCTTCCTGCCTCCACCTCCCGAGTAGCTAGAAATATAGGTATGCTCTACCACACCTGGCTAAATTTTTATTGTTTATAGAGGCAGAGTCTTGCTGTGTTGCCCACACTGGTCTCCAGCTCCAAAGCTCAGGCAATCCTCCTGCTTCAGCCTCCCAAAGTGCTGGGCACACAGGTGTGAGCCACCACACCTGGCCTCAAAAGTTCTTAATAACTGGAAACATCTGAAGTATCATACAAGAAAAAGATCGTGCGATGTAAGAAAGACATGGGCACAGAAAAATTACAGAAAGCAGGGCAAATACAGAGATTATGAAGTATTTACCATTAAAACCCATGGAGAAAACTGCAATTACTTTTGCACCAACCTAAGAGAATACATCTTATTTCATAGAGAAAAGCAAAGGAAACTCCCTACATTTGGTCATGAGAGCTCCATGCTGGGCGCGATGGCTCTCGCCTCTAAGGCCGAGGTAGGCAGATGGCTTAAGCCTAGGAGCTGGAGACCAGCCTGGGCAACATGGCGAGACTCTGTCTCTACTAAAAAATACAAAAATTAGCCAGGCATGGTAGCATGCGCCTGTAGTTCCTGAGGTGGGAGGACTGCTTGAACCTGGAGGCAGAGACTGCAGGGAGCTGAGACTGTATCACTGCACTCCAGGACTGGATGACAGAGTGAGGCTCTGTCTTAAAAAAACAAACAAACAAGCAAACAAAAAACACACTCCACAGTTATCTGGCAGGAACTGGATGGTGGCCACACCCTGGCTGAAGTGCCTTGATGCCTCCCCTCAGTCACTTCATGGCTAAGCCCACCCCAGCCTCTTGGCAGCCTTGGAGAGTGTGCCCAGGCCCCCATGAGTTCTGTCCTCCTCTACACTTGCTCCAGCCCCATGGCCCTGCAAACCACCACAGTCACCCCCACCTGCAGCCTGCGTAGCTCCACTCCCCATTCTCCCCCAAGTCCGTCACCCTCCATTCACTGGGCATCCCCTCGGCAGGACACCCAGGTTCTCCACAAGCACTGGGGGTCACCCTTACCTCATACCCAACCTGCTGGCCAATCCTACCGTCCCACCTTCAGGCGCACCCCAGTACAACTGTCCGCACCCCAGCCACACCAGGCCTTGCCCCGAGGCCCCACTCACCTCCCCAGCTCTGGGCTGTCCAGTGCCTTTCCCTCCCCCTCTGGCTGCCACACCGCCCTCACATCTAGCCTGTGCTCCACACAGCGCCTGAACCCCACAGCCCTGCCAGCTCCAGCTCAGGGTCCACACGCTCCCTTGCTGTCCTATGACTGCTTCAGAGAAGCCAGTGCTGATCGTCCCTCTTCCCTGAGTCTGCCTGAGGTTTATTCATGGCACTGATCACCACCTGAAGTTACACATTTGTTAGTATCTTTTCCCACTTAGAGGAGCTTCACCACTGAGTCCCCAGCTCCTGGAACGCTGCTCCGCGCACAGTAGGTGCCCAAAAGGTGTTTGTTCAACAAATGGATCATTTTAGAAGTGTGTCCTGCACCCCCAACATCTCTGCTTTCCTCTTTAATTCACACACCCAGCCACACACTCACCCCCATTCACACACTCAGCCCCACACTCTCTCACACACAGAAACACACAATGCAGAACTGTGCCAATATAACCCAAGTATGAGAAGTTCTCTCTCCAAGATAAACAGCTGCATTTCAATGTTGTAGGATAAATTAGCCTATCGTAAGTGATGGTTATGTCACAGAGCTGTAATAAGATCAGGCAATCTATCAACATTTTGAGGCCATTCCTTAGGACAAGTTAAAAATTCTACCTTTCTTGAATAACTATTCATTTTCTGACACCCCAAATGACAGTCAATCAAGGCAATGGGAAATGTTAACCAAATAAATCAAAATAGGCAAAACAAATAAAGCTTAACTCTGAAATGAAGTCTGATAAAAACTGCTATTTACTCCTATCTTTTCTCTTTATTCCTGTTAGAATAGTCATTTAAAAAGCTATTCAGCGGGAAACTGATCTATGAATTGGGCACAAGATGTGTGAACAGGAAAAACACCACACCTGCAGCGTGATCATCGGAACCTGACTCTTGCAGTGGCTGCACGTGGCTTCCCGGTATTTACATGCCTTCTCCACGTGGTCTCGAAGGTCTTTCCTCAAGACCTTTTCTTTGCAGTCAGCACGCACACATGGAAGTTCTTCAAACTGGCAATCATTTTTTAAATGCACCTATAAGACAGATCATTCAAAGTTCTTAACTGGGCAAAAGCCCCTCAATCTCAAATGCCAGAAAGGTTTCTCCTCTGCTGTTAGACCAGTCTTTCACAGCAAAGAGTAACAAATACGCCAAGAGACACTGAATTTCATATTCTATTTCGTGATTCCTCAAACTATATTGTTGTTGAAGAATTAAGTCAACTCTGCTTCCTGGATAGATAAATGAGTATCTGCTAAGAACTTTGTTTTATTCCAGTTCAAATAATTTTCTAGGCTAAATATGCTACTAATAAAAAAATACAAGAAGTATGTCGAATTTCATGGGCCTTCTAAAATTAAAATCCAACTCAGATTTTCTCTATTGTAAATAGGGTTGGGAGTGTTTAAGAACCAGTTGGCAATTCTATCAATGATGTCATAAAAATAACAACTTAGAGGGTGGTTCTCACTGCTTTCCTATTTGGCTGTGTTTTGAAAAACTAACGTCAACATGGTCTTAAAGTGCCACATCCTACTGATCACTTCATCCACTAGACGTAAGAAACTCGGATTCCTCCAGTACAAACCTCCAGTGCCTCTGCGCTACTCACCAACAGATGTCCCAGTGTTAACTGCTCTGCACAACCTCGGCTTTCATTCCGACAGTAGATCTGAAGAGCTAGAATTTCTCTCTTACAGCAATTATCCTTAAACACCTGAAAATGGAAGAGCATTATTTTAGAGGATTAATATTTCTAAATCTCCACATGCTGCTACTTTGGACAATGCAAAACCACTTAAAAAAACAAAACACAAGGGAGCAACTCTTAAGTGGACTTCAGAAAGCATTAAGGACCATCTTGATTTCTACAAGTAGAATGAAGAAGCTGCCCCTACTAAGAGACACAATTTAAACAACATTAACTGTTACCTTTTATTAGTTAAGCCAAAAGAAAATGAATTAACTTAATAATTAAAGGTCACTCTGGAGCATCTAAACATCTTCTGTTAACTTTGACATAATCTCAGGACGAGGGCAGAGGACTAGGTTCACAGTCAGACTCTGGGGTCTTCCGGGAGCCAGCACTGAGCAGGTGGCCAATGTGGTCCGACTGCCACCAGAGGACAAGAGCAGAATCTGACACAACTAAATACATTTTATAGATTGCTTGCTGGAGACACGGAGAGACCACGTCAGAGATCATATGTGGGGAATGATTTGTAAAACTGTTGATTCCTTCTAAAGGTCACGCTGTTAAAACTCATTTTTCACCAAAAAAGCGGCATTAGCCATTAGCCTGTGGTTGAAAAAAATTCTCTTAAAACATATATTGCAGTATGAAGTTAGTCTAACAATGAAAATATTTCCCTGTGAAAATGAAAACGAGGCTGGGCATGGTGGCTCAAGCCTGTAATCCCAGCACTTTAGGAGGCCAAGGCAGGAGGACTGCTTGAGCCTGGGAGTTGGAGACCAGCCTGGACAACCCAATGAGACCCTATCTCTACAAAAAAGTTTTTAAAAAATTAGCTGGACAAGGCAGCAAGGACCTGTAGTCTCAGCTTCTCAGGAGGCTGAGGCGGGAGGACTGCTTTAGCCTGGGAGCTTGAGGATGCAATGAGCTGTGATCACACCACTGCACTCCAGCCAGGGCGACAGTGT